ACAAGGCTTCAAATATATATGCCAATGAAAGGTATATATTTTTCTTCAGTGATGCACCTCACCTCTTAAAGACATGCAGAAATTGTTTGTTCAATTCTGGATCTGGACGCTATAGCAGATACTTGTGGAATAATGGTGATGAATTATTATGGGGTCACATTGCAAGCATGTATCATCAAGATCAGCAAAATGGTCTCCACCTTTTGCCAAGGCTTACATTTGATCACATAAAGCTGAATTCTTATTCCATTATGAGAGTGAACCTTGCTGCTCAAGTGTTGAGCAAATCTGTTGCAGCAGTTCTAAAGGAATTTGGTGGGAGGAACACACTGGCTACTGCAAAATACTGTGAAATGGTCAATGATTTTTTTGACTGTTTCAATAGCAGAAGTACCAATGAAAGTCATTTTCAAAGAAATAATAATATCTCTCCCTATACAGATGTTGAGGACAAGAGGTTTTTGTGGTTAGAGAAAGATTTCTTAGGGTATTTTGCTTCCTGGAAGGACAGTATAACTAGAAGAGAAGGTTCTTTTGATGAAAGCTCACGTGCCAAGATGTTTATATCATGGCAAACACACGAGGGCATGAAAATAAGCATTTATTCATTGATTGGTGTGGTCCGCTACCTCCTTTCCAATGGCGTAGATTATGTGCTATCCAACAAATTGTGCCAAGATCCGGTGGAAGAATATTTTGGTCACCAAAGAGGACTTGGTCGCAGAAGTGACAATCCTAGTCTAAGAGACTTTGGGTACAATGATAACAAATTGCGAATCCAAAGATTCATATCCCCAGTTGAGGGAAATACCAGAGGAAGGAAAAGAAAGAGAACAGAGACAAAGTGGAAGACAGTCATTCCTGATCCAATCCCGAAGCGGAAACAACAAGCAAAAGGCAACATGTAATGAACTTTTTAATTGTTTTTAATCAACTAAGATACTTGCACAGCTTCTGTTCACACGATAACTTGCTATTTTCTAGTAAAGCAACTCCAATCTAATTTAAGGATTTCCAATTTAAAATTATTATTGCTGTCATCAATTGTTTTCATTTTGGCCCACCTCAAATTTAAAAAAATTAAGGAAATAAATGAAATAAGCAAATTTTTTAAATTTTTATTAAATGTCACTATAATATTAGACAGCAGCTTTAGTTTGTTGATTAGAATAGATATCATCATTCTATTCGTAAATTTAATGTAATTGTTAATTGTTTCTACAGTTTTCCCACATTTCTTTTCCATAGCTTAATTTAAAGTGACACTATGTCCAAAGTTATGTCCAAAGTTTACTGATAACATCATACAGCTTCCTTATCTGCTACTAGACCCACTAGACTACATAAAAATGAGGCCAGAGTAAGATTAGATTGCCAATTCATATATATCTTCAGCAGTACATGTTTTTAATAGCTAACATTACAATAGATTGTTTTGGTTATAGACCCTTTGTTCATTTCAGTTTTTCAGCTGGCTTTTCTGTTTCTCTTTGAATTTCCTTCCTCAGGGCTTTTGTTTTGCCTTTTTTCTGTTCAAATTTAAATTTGTTGACAACATCCTTAGCATGTGAGAATGATCTCACCTTCACATAGAGTGACAAAATATTTGTTAAAAGGTCTTTACTTCCAGCACTATCAACTTGAATGGCACAGCGTTCAGTCCACTCATGGTACATCCCTTGAACCTCCTGGTCTTTGTAAATCTTGTCAACAATAACTGCAAGTTGTATTGTCTTTGAAGAATTATTTACATGGGCAAGAAAATAGAGTTCTGCAATAGTAAAAAGTTTTTCAACAGTATCAGTAATTTTCCAAAGCCCACCACGATTCACTGCATCAACCAATCTTTGATTAGCATCAGTATCTTCACTGCGACCTGCTTGCAAAATGGCAATATGTTGAAGTCCAAGTGGTGTTTTGTGATGCTTTGATTTATAAATTTTCTTGTTTAAATTGTGCAACACATATCCACCTAGATATTGCAAAGCAGCTTTTTCTCTTTCGGATAATTGTTTTTTCTCTGTTATCCTTCCTTCACTTTTTGGAGGTTTCTTGCTGTACACTACCAATTTTTCAGCGAGCTTAGTGCAAAGAAGTGTTGCTGCATTTGCACTCAGTTGGTCAAATAGTATAGTTGCTTTTGGAATTATTGTTGAGTAAAACTTTGTAAAAAACTTCTCAACATTGCCTTTTCCAACAAGCAACTCATAATGTAACAAAACCTCATTTAAAATGGTGTCCTGATTGTTGCTTATGTCTGTTAAAACAAATCTAAAAGATTCCAGACTATGGCAGATATCTGTTGGAAAGCAAAGGTCTTCAGAAAGGTCCTTGCAGCTTTCATTCACCATTGTGGCTATACTTTCTCTGCTCAATGATTCTTTGGGTTCTGGTTGCCCTTCTTCCATTTCGGGATGTTTTGATTTTTTATGGCGAGTCAGACCAGTCTTTGACTTGCACTTTTTACTGCAAATGGAGCACTGGAATTTCCCATTTTGGATCTACAGTAAAACAGTATTTGTGATAAGTAAGGTAAAATGATAAAAGTTATTAGTAAGTCATACCTTGAAAACTCTTGTTTTAAATAAGAAACTAAAAATAGTCTCAGATAATGGTGATAAGAATTGACATTTTTTAAACCTTGGGCTGGCCTAAATTTAACTTAGAGCAAGGAAATAAACTCTGATATGATTTAACATTCAAACAGACTAAGCAGGCATGTATATGTTGACAACAAATGGCAATGACACCATTTTGGGTTGCAACATTGGAAGGTTTTTCTGATTATCATTGGAAATATAATGGCATTATTTTCTTTTCAGAAACCCTCCGTGAGCTGACGCTGTCAAACACAATATGACTGTCCCTTTATTTGAAATCACTGAATTTGATGCTGCCTAAAGATTTATAACGATGTTTCATTTGCTAGATATTTCAAATCATAAATAATTTAATGTTCAAACTGAATATCTCTGTCGCTCTCCACGTGAATTCAATGGCCTAAGTGGCCTTTTAGCACAAAAACACTACTTCAAAATAAAACAGATTAAGTCGTTAAAACAATGTTTACCTCTTCGACAGTTTCATCTAAGAAAGTTGAAATCTTTTCTTCAAAAAAATCGCTTTCCAATAGATCTAAAATCGCATCTAAATCCTCGCCACGTACTTCGTTCTCGTCCATGTTCGTTTTGAAGATCGGTTGCGTTGCGTGTGCAGGTTCACGCTTCATTAAACAGCTCAGTTGAGTTTTTCAACATCGCTCGCGGCATCCTTCGTAATTACGGAGTTTCCAGACCAGCGTATTTCTATTGACTATGGTGTGTGATAGGAAATATTTCTTATCTTTTCGTCGATACAGTCAACATAAATCTAATTAAATTTCATCGTTACTCCAAATTTTGGTGCTTGTGAACAAAAATTAAATACCTCATACGAGCGTAACACAACAACTTATTTTTTATTGTGACTTGCTTTTGGCTAACACATGTTTTGCTATAAAAAAAGAATTGTAGGAAATTTCAATATGTGGTTTGGCACACAAATGCCAACTTAAATATCAAGACATTTAAACTCTTTACAAAAAGCCTTTTCAACTCTTTTACATATAGCCCTTTTAGTGACATTCGAATCTAGCGCGCCCCCTTCAAACAAAGAATAGTCATTTCTATGCTGCGCTTCAAAACGTCAGTAAAAATATTTATGCATTTTTCATCAGAATCTAAGCTCATGATGAATGCACAGTATCGTCGTTTTATGTTCGTTTCATTGCTAAACATGGACGTAGTGGAGACTGAAATAAACGCTTGGGGTTGGAATGGGTCTTGACCGAACACTGTTGCCTTACGATAAATTACTCGAATTGGCCTGAAGTTCGATCAATTTTGCTTGATTAGGCTGCAGCATCCCCCCCCCCCAGCCCCTAAATATTATACGTCTACGGTCCTTAAAGTTTTTTTACAGGTTTATTAAGATAGATAGTGTTGGGTTTTTATAGACGTTTTTATTAGAAAAAACTTGCACAGTTCTTTACAGCAATGATTTCTCTTTGCATTTGGCACTTGGGCTCATGAAAATAGAAAGGTAGATTTCTGAAGGGGGCGTTTATTTACGAGAGATTGGTTGCAATGGGCGTTAAATAGAGACAGCCATTTGTCCGAAGGCGTTCCCAAATTGAGAGACTTAAAGGTCGATGGAAGGCGTACCACAGCTTTATGAATGTCATTTTGAAACATATCAGGAATTTTCTGCCAAGAAGAAAAGTCGCAATTTACAAGAATCCTTTATACAGATGTAGAGTAGAATGGTAATTAAAAAGCCGGGGAATGAATGAGGTCAAGGTGAATCAAATTTCATTGAGAAAACTCAACCATAGTAATGATACTATTTTCGACTTGAATTTTTGCGCTAAAAAAAGAAGAGGATCCTGTGTCTTGGTTAACCAGAATTGTTTCTACCAACTCTCACGTTGAAGTTGGTCGTTATGGAACCAACACTAGGTTAGACCCAAACGCGATAGATCAGGTTATCTTGATTAAAAGAGGCCTCCAAGAGAGTCCACACGCCGAACAAGTTATCATCGAGCCAGTGAATGAAATCTTTTGTGTCTGTTTCCATGAAAGGTTATTAACCTTACCAAATATGAGTTAATTGGAAAATATTTCTTGATAGAAAAAATAGTTTATTTTGTTAAAACACAATGGAAGTTATTTTTGGTGGTTTCAAGCAGTAATGTTAGACATCAAATGTTTAATACTTATCGTTTCATACTAAGCAATTAACTTGTTATCGTTGGTAAATATAGTCGAGAAAGTATGTTTGATACAAGTTGTCGCATTCGTATACATAATAAGTATTTCCACAATCACTTCAGAATAAATTGGTTATAAACAATCCATACTGTTTGTGGTTTCACCAATAGATACCGTCTTCCGTGATTTGACTACAAATAGCCTGAGGGACCCCTTTTGTCAGTTTGTGTGGATCGTGACGGCCGTGTTAAGGACTTATTTCTACGTACCCAAAACAGGAGCCGTTCTCAACGAATTGGATAAAACCCAGATTAAATTGAAACCCAAGCAAAGAGCATCAGTCAGTTTTCATCATGGCAAGGAATTTCCGCAGTATTTGGCACAACCATATTTGGAAGTTAGCAGTTTTTGTAAGTACCAACATTCCTGCAGTCTAAAATTGTTTTGATAATTTTAGTTTGTCCTTGTTTTCTCCGTGTCTTTCCAGGTCTTATACTATCTTTCTTGCTTTTCGTATGTTTCTTAGTATTTTCTTCCGAAATCAGAACTTTGTTAATTAGTTGAAGTTGTTAATCTGTGAAAATATTTTCTAAGCATTTACCTGAAGGCGAGTGTCGTTCTGGGTTGGCTGTGGGCAAGAGAGATCAAGGGAATTTCCGGTCTTACATTATATATTA